ATGTGCATGTCGGCCGACGTGGTTGTTAATTGTGGAGTTGATCGCTTAGCATCAATATGCAGGTAAGAGACATGAGGCCGGGATGCAGATCGTTTTTTTGTTTTCGTTTTTTTTTGTAAGTTACTTTTACTGTAGGTCAATGATAAGAGGAATAAGATCCATTTTTAATGTTACTCCCACCGTCTAAAAACCAAAGTCAATTCTTTCTCATCTGTTTTCTATGTGTTGTGTATACGAACCTACTGACCTGCCATCGTCCCCCCGACCATTTACTGAACCGTAGAATCCAATTTCACGCTAATTTGTGGCACAATAGTCCCCATACGGAAGTGTGTGCATTTCTGATTACCGGCAGAGGGAATTCCATTCAAGAGTACAGTACGATGAATCGTGCTGCGGGTGCACAAGTGGATCGTCAAATTTGCGTTCGTGACCACCCGTTTTGTTTCACCAGAAAAAACTGCAGTTGGGTTTGTATATACCCAAATTTAACCGAGGTCAGATCAGGTTGACCCATAAAGACACCTTCCAAGCATTCTGAACACATAATAGTCGAGTTTATTTCATTAGTCTTGTCATGGAAGATTGTGACCAAATCAGCGTGTGACATCCCGTCTTTGGGTGACGCGCTGCGGCGCAAACACCTTCCGCTATTAAAACGGGACCGAAGGCAACATCGCAGCTGTTCAGGGAATCCAGGCATGAATCGCCATGACCCAAAAGCTCCTGAATGAATCCGAGCCTCTGCAAATACTGACACGAGCACATAGGCGTGCGCACGGACACATGTACACGCACACACTCTGAGATCTAGCCAGATGGTGTAATCCTCTGGTTTTTCTCCATGTTTCATATTTCCCCCCTCCTTTGCGGGGATTATGCTGCCGTCCAATCGGATTTAGCCTCGCTCCCCGAGCTGTGATGTGATATGAATGACTGGCACGCTGTCTGTTCCTCTATCGGCGGTATGATTTGCATGTCGGCCGACGTGGTTGTTAATTGTGGAGTTGATCGCTTAGCATCAATATGCAGGTAAGAGACATGAGGCCGGGATGCAGATCGTTTTTTTGTTTTCGTTTTTTTTTGTAAGTTACTTTTACTGTAGGTCAATGATAAGAGGAATAAGATCCATTTTTAATGTTACTCCCACCGTCTAAAAACCAAAGTCAATTCTTTCTCATCTGTTTTCTATGTGTTGTGTATACGAACCTACTGACCTGCCATCGTCTTCATTTTTAATGTTACTCCCACCGTCTAAAACTAAAGTCAATTCTTTCTCACCTGTTTTCCCTGTGTTGTGTATTCGGACCTACTGACCTGCCATAGTCCCCCCCGACCATTTACTGAACCGTAGAATCCAATTTCACGCTAATTTGTGGCACAATAGTCCCCATACGGAAGTGTGTGCATTTCCGATTACCAGCAGAGGGAATTCCATTCAAGAGTACAGTACGATGAATCGTGCTGCGGGTGCACAAGTGGATCGTCAAATTTGCGTTCGTGACCACCCGTTTTGTTTCACCAGAAAATGCAATGTATGCAACATTTGCATTCTTGTTCATACACAGGCTGAAATTGCGAAAGGTATAAAGCTAAAGTAATAGCTCACGTAATCCGTTTGGCGACAAGGTGTCCGGTTTTTAAAGCCATGCACTTTCACATTCCATGACAAGATGCCCTGGATAAAAGCTTCCACTGATTGCGATTGGTTTAAGTGAGTGTGATGTGTGTGTGTCCCCCTGCAGGTCAGTGCTTCCTATGTATGGTGGATGTGGTGCCCGTGAAGAACGAAGATGGCATGGTGATCATGTTCATCCTCAACTTTGAGGTCATGACCGAGGAGACATCGCGGGACGGCAAACAGGAGCTCAACCATCGCCTTCCCACCTGGCTCGTCACTGGTAACTATCGGCTTGACTGTCGCTTGCACTGTACTGAAGGGGCAGAGACACATATAAGAAAAAAAAAAAAAAAGTACAGAGTTGCGGTCGGGAAGCGACTCGCAAGATTTGAATGGAGCATCACATCACTTACACAGCCCAACTGAGATTTTGGTCTGAGGAGGAATTTCAAGCTCACAGCTATCCAGTCAGTAATTGAAAAGCATCGGTGTAATCCACCTTGATCAGTGTTCCATTCATCCGCATATACAACAGGTGGCCTGATATTTGCAAAGTAAAATTACTTATGTGAATCCTGTATTGTTTTTTTAATTACATTTGACAGAAAGGGTTTTTTTTTTTTCGAAACTGTCTGTGGACTCAATGTTCCATACACAATGTTGCTATTTTCTAATCAAGTCATGCCCTGAACTTTGGAGCAATTTCCTCTTCAAAGCCTATTTCGGCTCAACACGATCCCGTTCAGATCTCCTCTCCGCACCGCTCTCGCCTTTCTGTGTAATTTTTTTCCTCCATAAGCAAGCGGCTACCTTCTTGCCCTCTTCATCAGGTCGTCCCAGAGGCTTCAAGTTGCGCCTTCCCCTGCTGCGCTCGCTCTCCAACAGTAAAGTGTCTCTGGATGACGCAGAGTCTGGCCGGATCCCCACTGCCACACCTTTGCCACTGCACCCGGTCGGCCATTGTCAGGAGGCCCTCGGCTTGGGGGAGTTCCTGCCCCTTCCCCCTATGCTGTCGGATCATTCCGAGCAAGTCAGTGAAAGCAGGTAGAGCTCATAGATTTGTTTTTGTGAAGATGCGCGAAGGTTTCAGTATTTTGATGAGTAGTTTCCTGGTACTTTTTCGGTAAACTGACAGTGAGCCCTGCTGCCAATAGAGAAAATCGACTAGTTAATGCCCCCTAAAGAGTAATTGTCTTAAGATGCCATGTGGTAAGAAACCAGTTTTTGATTAGGCAGAGCGACGGACTGTCTAAAAGAAGCTCCAACCCTTATTTCAACATAGTTCTTTGGCACAAAAATTGCAAAGAGCAGTACTTCTTTGTGAAAATGGGCTACAGTGAATTGGCGAATACTTTCCAAATTTAATAAGTGGTCTTTGTCAGCACAGCAGGTTGCGGTTTCTAATTCAGTCTCAGCGTCCCAGTTAAGCATCTTGTTTTTCTGTTTCCAAGATCAGCTCTACAAAGTTGGCCAGAAGACCACGTGGAGGACCATCGCACTTTACTGGAATCTGTGTCCCTCGTACCGCCTCATGCACCTCACCACGTAACCCACTTGGTCGGGCCCCTTACCCAGTCGTCTCCTTGCGTGGCGTCGCACCATCGCCTCAGCCTCAACCAGGACGCCTCCGGCTCCAACTGTTCCCTGTCACGCAGCCGCGAGAGCTTCCACAGCATGAGGCGCGCGTCCTCCGTTGACGAGATCGAGGCCATGAGGCCTGACTGGGACCGGAAAAACCGGAGAGCCAGTGTCCGACTGGGAAGCACTGGTGCGAAACATCGTGGTTACAAAACAAAATGCTGTTTTTTTTTTTTTTTTTGTCATTTGAACCCCCTTGTGCATTTGCAGGTGCAGTGAACAGTAAGTCCAACATACTGAACTCCACGTCAGACTCTGACCTCATGCGGTACCGAACCATCTCCAAAATTCCTCAAATCACCCTGAACTTTGTGGATTTCAAACCCGACCCGCTCATCGCCCTGCCCTCAGGGGAGATGGACATCATCGCGCCTTGCAAACTCATCGACCGCACGCACAATGTGACGGAGAAAGTCACGCAGGTAGGACTGAGTTTCTTTCTCGTGCGCAAAAGAGACGTAGCGTGTGCCACGTGTCGCCGCTAATGAGCTGCCTTAGCCTAGGTTGCGTTTGATGAAGCTCCTCACAACATCTCGCGACATTAGCTTTGAAGGGAAATGGTTTGAGACGAGCCGAGATCGTGCGCTGTGTGGTCACTTAAAAAAAAAAAGTTGCATTTGTGGCTGAAATGTCTTTAAAGTGTTTGCTTTTGTTGTGCTTGATATATTAACAGATTGATGAGCAACTCATTTTGAGTTTTCGTAAAATATTTTATCTATGTTACTTAACAACCCTTTATAACCTTGAAGAAACTCGTATGAGCAAGCGAAAGGGGTCGGCGAAGGGAGTATTAAAGATTAAGTTAAGCCATCTGTTAGGGCAGGAGTCTATCGGGAGTTACTAGAGGGAATAGGAGTGATTTGATCTGATCATGCTCTTTTTTTTTTATATCGCTCTCAACAGACAATAATCCAGAGCTGATGACGCAACACAACAATGTAATCATGCTACAGTATGCGAGTTGCAGACGGCAAGGTCAACACAAAACACAACCCGAACTTGCTTTATGTGTGAGGGTGGGGGCGCAGGGGGGGCATATACGTTAGTGTACTGCAAAGAATATGGCTTGCTTGGGATGCGCAGAGGTGTAATGTCAACTCAGGCCTGAAGGTGGTAGCATCACATTGAGACGTTTATTTCAAAGCCTCTCAAAATATGAACCCTGCATCTGAGTGAATCATTTACATACTCCATGAAACGCATTTTTTTTTTCCATTTTTACATAGTTGTGTGTCGGATAATAACATATTATTTGGTTCAGTGTTGTATTATGTACTGTATTGTTGCATAATGTAGATTGTACTGAATTTGGAGTATGGGGCTGGCACAAGTTCCTGAAAGCTCGACAAAGAACACTTGTTGTGACATCATCAACATTACATTAAGTGGAATATAGGTCGTACATATTTGTTTCATGAGCGGGCATTATGGGAAGACTTTCCTCGGCACAGGGTACTTCTCTGTGGACAAGTCACAAGTCGTGCTCTAAATCCTTACAGAATATGAACAGTGGTTGCCTTCATTTGCGACCCAATTGCGGCACAAAACAGCCATGTTAAGTTGGATTTTAATTGTGGTTGTTCAGATACGTCTTTGTTTAGATATATGAGCATGTCAACCAGCAGTTGAAAAAAAACACATTAAACGTATGGAAGCTGTGAAATAGATCATGATTTAAATATTATTAACTATTTATATTTATATATTTTTTTTTTGAAAGGCTGAACTGAGCATTGAACTTATGTTGAGCCGTACACTTCTGGCAATGTCTCAGCAAAGCACTGTGTTTGTGAACTAGGGCAGAAATGAATTGAAAACGTGGGCTTTTCATCTGCACAATGGAAACCGCTTTCAGTCTACCTGGAGGAAAATAACTTCATTTATTCTGTTTAGAGCTGTGGATGAGACAGACAAGACTGCGGCTTGGTTTGACTTCGCCCCCCCTAGTTACTATTACCCCTTTATGTACGCATGCATCGTCTGGAACAAAGAAAGCAAGCTCCTCATAATAGACATCGTATTACCGGCAGGCTGCTGTGTTATGTGCTTGAATCTGCTTGTCCCGTTAGCTAAAGTGATTTTTTTTTTGTTTTTCCTCCCGCTGGGTGATGTTTTCAGCATGTGACTATTGTATGTTTGACTATAATACATAAAAAAAAATACTCCTTCCATGCTCTGGCACCAGTGGCTCGGTCTCTCAGTTAAATTGGCTGGAATGGAGTCGAGGAGCATGTGACACAGTCAACCTGCAGGACTGTAATTTAGCCGCCTGCTCTGTGGCTCCGCCTCAATACCTCAGACTGATTGAGTGTTTTCCCCCATGTGAGTTCAATGACCCACAAAGTAAAGAAGCGTCTTGTCGGTGTCTTGAAGCCATGCATATATATTTCCACCACGTCTGCTCATTATTCAGATGAGGCATATTGTAATTCTTTGAATAGATCCAATCATTCTTTTGCAGATTTCTCAGCCACACCGATCTGCTCGCGCTGACGGCTAATAATTGCTATTCTCACCCGACAAGCGTGATGGAGATAATTATAACCTATACAAATTAAAAATAAAAAATACATTTCAGTATTGTACTATTGTGTGCCAAATCTTTGAATTCCTAGTGTTAATCACGCACATTTGTCATTTCGTGCGAATGAGTGATGGGCAAACAAAAAATGGGTTGAAATGGTTGAACATCGTCCAGCTAATCTATATCTACCTAATCTGTTTCCCTTTCTGTTTCCCAAGCATGGAGCAGGCATTGATTTTGCCATTTGCAACGCTCTATATAACTTTAGTCGTTCGAAAGTAAATCCGGGCTCGGGCTGTGTAAGAACATGATGACACTGTCCCACGGGGCAATCACGATTGATTTGAGTTGAAATGGAAAATGTTCCATCATTAACACGTGTGCGGTATTACTTCTAAATTAACTGCCAGGAACAATGTAGCTTTGCTTCAAGGTTGCCTGGATTTCGCTGTGCATGTCAAACTTTTCCGATTTTTAAAAGGCAACTGTAATTTTGTGAGCAGATAATCTGCCGTGACCTTTGAAGTGCAAGCCGAGATGTATGTGCTCAGATTGTACTGAGTGACTGAACGTAAGTCCACTTTTGTTTTTGTTTTGGAAAAAAAAGTGCTTTGCCGCCATCTCTTGGCTTTTACAGGTGATGGTAGATTTTTGCTATTTGCAGCAGGCCTCTGTCCTGTCATTTGTGTCCATTGTATGTCCAGTATGACAGCATATGCATACAGCACAGATAGAGATGATGTGCATTTCATTTTTATGGAGTAAAACAATCACCTTTAACAATCACTGTCAGATATGTCTCGGGAGGAGAAGGAGGATGAAAAAAAAAATAATAATAATGATTTTTGAGAGGGCACCCAGGTCCACCAAGCAATCCTGTTCGCAAACATTCATCATTGTCTTCAGCGTTTTATCGTTTACATTTTTAAATTTCTTCCCTACTCTGGCGGTCTGTGTTCTTGATTTTGTATTATTTTATTTTAATTTGCATCACTTTGCCAGTTATCCTTGAGCACCCCCCCCCACCCCTCCATTCTTCCCCTTCCCCACATCCCTCCGCACTGTTGCACGGTATGACCCATTTCCTCTGCCCTGGCCCCATTCATCACGGGGCTCCTCATCATAACAAGTAATTGAATCAGAGAGGGGGTGAAGTTTTACGGAAACACAAACACTGAGAAGTTTGCCGTTTCTGTTGCTTTCATAGAAATGTAGCTGCGTGGGTCCAAGTGCCGAATTTCAAGATGATTACAGTGTTTGACTGCGTTGACGTTGACTTCACACACGTTCTAACCCGCTTGCACTGGGGCCCAAAATTGGACGTAGCAGATGTCGCTCGAACTCCGTCGCCCTTCTATGCCATCGTCATAATGTTGCATACTCGAGATGTGTGCTTCATTCAACACTCCATCCATTTTCTATCACGTCATCATTTGTGTCGTGGGTGAGCTGCCGCCTTTCTTATCCGCACAGTTAGGTCAGAGGCGGGGTATGCCCTGGACCGGTCATCGGCCAATCGCAGGCCCCTGCGTGTGCAGAGAGCAAATTCGAATCTCTGGGAAGAGGTCTCTGGACTCAATTTAAAGTTACCCGAAATGCACCCTTTTGTTCTGTCGCACAATCAATGCCCAGAGGTTCGACGGTTCCGGCAAGATCAGGTACGGTAAGTGAGCCGGTCAGGCACCCGCCTCGGCCCAATCCATCATGCCGCTAGCAAGCTGAAGGGCGGGGCGGTGAAGCCGGCTCATCTCAAGAGGCAGTGGAGTGAACCAAGTACGGAGCCAGAGTGCTCCGTCACGACACACAAGCATACGCGTACGCGCCATGTTTTGTTGAAACCCACTGCTATAGTGTCTAATAGTTTGTGAAACATGAGGTGCTATTACTCTGTGAGGTTGCATACTACACCCGAAAATGTGAATGAGATGATGCCACTTAGAAAAAGAAAATGCATTCATGCACTGGGAGAACATGAAAATGTCCAGCTGACAGGTTTGGAATATTCACGTCCATCTTGCAAAGTTATATCCAGTAGGCGTTAGTTGTCAGGATGATTTCAGCTGCTGCACGTACCCTCGATGCAAGGAAAAAGGAGTCCTTCGCTTGGAATGAAAACGCCAACATTTTGGTATACCGTCTCTCCTCATCGATGTCACAAATTTGCACAAGCAAACACATTCGGTGTGCTGACGAGCAAGTGGATGTGAACTTTCGAAGTCACCCGTAAGGTCGACACCTAATGGGAATCAATAGCTGACTCACTGTGTTATGTCTCTGACGCACACGTGCACACACACACACATCACCAAGTGTGATTACCTTTAGCACTACCGCGGGCCCTCCGGAGAATACGAAACCTCTCCCGAGATCAGCGCGGTGGCGGCTCCTTGTCATTTGACAGGTTCTGGACGCAGATGCTGCCATTTAAACCCACTCGTTATCTCTGACCCTTGTTCAGACCTTGTTCAGAACTTCAACCCCGCAGAAATATCAGCGTAAACACCACCCGGGTTGTGCTGTGCCGTATTTAGAAGACAACAGCCAGAAAAAAAAAATCTTTACCCCACTGAGTCAATAGATTTCGCTATGCTGTCTTTATTGGTTTGTAAATTTGACTTCATGTGAACTGAAACTAATTCCTTAATTCAGTTTGGCAGCTAAAAAGTAATTTCCTCAATTAGAATCCCGAATTCTGAGGTGCCTCAAAAAGGTCTACCGAAGAAAGTGGTCAGTGACTGGACATTAAGAAGCATGTGTTTTTGAAATCATCGGCGGCGGTGCCACAACAGATTACAGTCAGTGTTCTCATATTAGCTTGGCCAGGAGATGCGATTATATGTGGATGGGGATTCTCCATTGTCTGCCCATTGGCTTGTGTGAGGACCATCTGCACGAGCA